TTTCTCACTCCATCGCGTGCCTTCTTGGCATCTTTGGCCTGCTCGACATCCAACTGTGCGCACATACATCTATAGATATATATATATATATATAACCCGGAGAAGCAATTAAGGAACCCCCCGGCGTTACCATTAGCACCGCGCCGTAATTAAATAATTATTTGGGGGGGTTTTCGCCGAGCGATATTATTAGCACCGCGCACATGGAAGGAAAATAAAGAATTCCAGCGCCCCGCCTCGGGTGGCATCCCAATTAGAATTGTAATGAAAATAAGAATACGAATACGAATAAGGAAAAACTGAGAAAAGCTAAGGAAAAGCTTAGAAAAGCTAAGAAAAAGCTGAGAAAAGCTTAGGAAAGCTAAGGAAAGGCTAAGACAAGCTAAGAAAAAGCTGAGAAAAGCTCAGGAAAAGATCAAGAAAAGCTGAGAAAAGCAAAGGAAAGCTAAGGAAAAGCTGAGAAAAGCTAAGGACAACTAATGAAAAGCTAAGGAAAACTATTGAAAAGCTAGGGAAAAGCTAAGGAAAACTAAGGAAAACTTAAGAAAAGCTGAGGAAAACTAAGGAAAAGCTAAGGAAAAAGCTAAGGACAACTAAGGAAAAGCTAAGGAGAACTTGTGACCCTCGCAGTGACTCTCGCAGAGTACCCCCAAGGCCTGAGTATGGAGGAAGTCCAAGGCGGGAGCCTTGTCTGTGAGCGCGTCCTCCTCCGTGTCCTCCTCCTCCTCTTCCTCCTCCTCCTCCTCCTCCTTCTCTTCCTCCAGCCCCCATTTTTCTAATGAGATTTCTATTGCAACCCCTTTGGAAAAATTATTTGTTTCGGCCGTCGTAGGAGGTGGTCCATCCCAGGGTATCGCCCCCGCCCCGCACCGCGGCGTTATCTTAGCACCCGGCAGGACCAAAATAAATCCCCGAGCCAGAGTAGGAGTGGATCAGTGTACATGGTTACGGCACCGAACAGCGAGGGTCGAGCACTGGAAAGACGCGTGGCCACTGAAGCTCTCTGACTCCTCCGCATGCGTTTCCTCATTCTTTCAGGAGGGTGTACCCCCTCCTGGTGCCAGGATAACGCTTCCGGGTGCCGGGTGCGTTATCTTTTCACCGGAGAGGGGGGGGGGGGTCCTTAATCGCTTATCCGGGTTATGTACACACACATCTAGGTGTGTGTATATATACATGCACATATATATATATATATATATATATATATATATATGTGTGTATCCATATATGCAAATAGGAGAGATCTGCGCCGTGGTAAGAGATGGGAGGGAGGGGTAGGACGTGAGATGTGACGGCAGCGCGCCCAGCTTGCCCCTCCCCCCTCTCCCCCCCCAACTGCACAATCTGAATAATACTCCAAATCCCTTATTCATCGACCCCCCCTAAAAAAACCGGACTCCCCTTCAAATGCGACCGAATATTCCGGACCCCCCTCTTCAACGGGCCGCCTTGATGAACCGGACCCCTAAGCTCCAATCCAAAAAAAACGCCCTAATAAACCGGACCACCCCAGTTACAAAAAAGGCGCCTTGAAAAACCGGATTTGGAGTACTCTCCTCTCTCCCCTGACTCTGTCGGGAAAACGTTCGACATCCCTAGGCGTACTGTCTACACGCAGGATTCTGGCGAATCCCACCAGCCCTCTGGGCGACGAGGTCTAAGGATAATGTCTTTCCGCGTCCACAACCCCTCTTCCTTTCGGGGAGGGGAGCCCTCCCCCGCCCCTCCCTGAAATTTGTCTGGAGGTATCGCGAGATGTCGGAGGCTCCTTTTCCGGCCAGTGGGAGGGCCGATGTTTGACACCCCTCACCAGGATCGTGGCCGTGGCCCCCGAGGGGGGGACGCACATCGAGGACCCCCTTCTTTTGACCGACCGCCTCCAAGATGGCCCCAAGAGGCCCTCCAGGGCCCCCAAGAGGCTCCAAAGAGGGTCCCACGAGCGCCCCAAGAGGCCCCAACAGGGCTCCAAGAGGCCCCCGAGAGGCCGCCAAGAGGCCCCCGAGCGGCCTCAAAGAGCCCAAGATGACCTCCGAGATGGCTTCAGATAGCCCAAACTGGCTCAAGATGGCTCCCAAGATGCTCCAAGAGGCCCCAAGACCGCTCCAAGACGGCTCGAGATGGCCACGAAGCTTCCCCAGACCCCCAAGAGCCCCAAGAAGCTCACCCGAGGCACGCAAGACGCCGTCTCGTCCTCGTCCTTCTCCTTGTCCTCCTCGTCCTCGTCGTCCCCCTCCTCGTCCTCATCCTCGTCGACCTCCTCGTCCTGATCCTCCGCCTCATCCTCCTCCTCTTCCTCCTGTTTCTCCTCCTCCTCCTCCTCTTCCTCATCCTCCTCCTCCTCGTCCTCTCGTTCTCGTCCATATCCTTCGTCCTCGTCCTCGTAATTTTCCTCCTCCTCCTCCTTCTCCCCTCCTCTCCTCCTCCTCCCTCACTCCTCCTCCTCCTCCTCCTCTCCTCTCCTCCCCTCCTCCTCCTCCCTCCTACTCCTCCTCCTCCTCCTCCTCCTCCTCCTCCCTCCTCCTCCCTCCTCCTCCTCCTCCTCCTCCTCCTCATTGCATGTTTTTTACACATCCGTTTCTTCCTGGTCCTTCAAAGTGTTGCTCCCGCTACAGCGCTAGCCTCATGTTCGCGCTTCCGCTCGTTCCGAATCGTGCTCCCCTCTCCTCCTCCTCCTTCCTCCTCCTCCTCCCTCCTCCTCCTCCTCCTCCTCCTCCTCCTCCTCCAGTTCCTCCTCCTCCTCCTCCTCCTCCGCCTCCGCCTCCCCCTCCCCCTCCCCATCCCCTCCGTCCTGCGCCTCCGCCTCACCATCCGCCTCCCCCTCCCCCCCTCCCCAATCCCCCTTCCCCCTCTCCTCCCCCCTTCCCCCCCTCTCCGCAACTACACAATATGAATACTACTCTCCTCTCTCCCCTGACTCTGTCCGGAAGATGTTTGGCCCCGCTACGCGTACCATTTCTTTACACATACATCAGATTCCGGCGAATTGGTCTTTTATATGTGCTTTACACATCCGTTGATCTCCGGTCCTTCCACATGTTGCTTCCGCTACAGCGCTGGCCTCATGTTCGGGCTTCCGCTCGTTCCGAATCGTGCTCCCCCACTCCCCCTTCCTCCTCCTCCTCCTCCTCCTCCTCCTCCTCCTCCTCCTCCTCTCTCCTCCTCACTCCTCCTCCTCCTCCTCCTCCTCTCCTCCCTCCTCCTCCTCCTCCTCCCTCCTCCTCCTCTCCTCCTCCTCCTCCTCCTCCTCCTCCTACTCCTACTCATTTTCTGGCTTCCGCTCGTTCCGAATCGTGTTCCCGCTGCAACGCTGACCATTTTCCGCGCTTCCGCTCCTTCCGAATCGTGGTCCCGCTGCAGCGCTGGCCTCATTTCTGCGCTGCGTCTGCTCGTTCCGAATCGTGCACCCGCTGTAGTGCTAACCTCACTTCCAGTGCCATGCCATGGCATGCAATGCAATACTATGGTGAGTTCCACTGTGCGATGCCATGCCTTCAGCTGCAATGCCATGATATGCAGTGCTTGACTACGCAGTGCCACGCCATGCTACGTCATGCTACGCGTTGATCTTCCACGCTATAGTATACAATGTTATGCTATGCCGTGCTACGACATTCGACTAGGCGAATAGAGAGGAGATCTACGCCATGGTAACGGATGGGAGGAAGGGGTCGGAGGTCAGATAAGACGCTTGCGCACCAAGCTTGCCCCTACCCCCTACCCGTATCACCACTCTTCCTTCCTCCTTCCCCCTTCCCCCTTCCCCCTCCCCATCCCCCTCCCCCTCCCACTTCCACTCCCCCCCCCTCCCCCTCCCCCTCCCCCTCCGCCTTCTGCTCCCCCTCCTCCTCCTCCTCCTCCTCCTCCTCCTCCTCCTCCTCCTTCGCGTGTTTCCTCATGAATAATAACAGGAGGGCAGTCGAAGGGCGGGCCTGGCTTTTCGGCTGAGACTTCCCTGACGGTTTTGAGCTTCAAGCTTCAACACTGGCAACAGAGTCACCGATGGAGGGCAGGTTGCGTCAAAAATGTGGCTCTCGACTCGCCTCAGCACCGCGCACACTCGTTTCAAAAATGCCAGAGCTTCACGGATTGAGGGCGGGTCGTTTCCAAAACGTGGCTCTCGCTTTAGCGCCGCGCACATTCAATTAAACAATTCCAAGAGCTTCACGGATTGAGAGCGGGTGTGAAACTGTGGTTCTCGCCTTAGCGCCGCGCACACGTGTTAAAGCTTTGCAAGGGCTTCACGGATTGAAGGCGGTTCCTTTTCAAAATGCGGCTCTCGCCTCAGCGACGCGTACACTCGTTGTAGAAAGTTGTAAGAGGTTCACGGATTGAGGGCGGATCCTTTTCAAAATGCGGCTCTCGTCTTAGCGCCGCGCACATTCGTTCTCAAAGTTAGCAAGGGATGTGATGCTTCTCATGGTCAACGTACCAGACATGGTTTTTCGGAACGATTCAGGATTGTCAGGGCTCAACAGTTACGTTGATGTGCAGTGTTGAAGCTTGAGAAATTGCATTCTGGCCAGATTCAGGTTCGTCAAGACGAAACAGTCAAGTTGGTTCGCGGCGTTGAAGTCCTGAGAATGGTGTTTTGGCATGCATCAAGATGTTCACACGGTTGCCCCCCAACGGGGCACTTCCCTTAGTGGAAAGGAATCCTTGTAGGGGCGTGCGAAGAGGGAGCTTGGAGGAAGGGTGTATCCCAGCATCGTTGATGAGTCTTGTGCTTACACTGCTGCTGCTCTTCCTCCTCCTCCACCTCCTCCTCCTCCTCCTCCTCCTCCTCCTCCGCCTCCTCCTCCTCCGCCTCCTCCTCCTCCGCCTCCTCCTCCTCCTCATCCTCCTCCTCCTCCTGGGCCTCGGGCAGAGCAATCGGCGCTTCCCCGCGCGCCGCGCGCCGCGCCGCCGGGGGCGCGTGGGCCGCGGATGCCCGGCGGGCCGCCGCGCGAGGGGCGCGCAGCCCGCGCCCCTTCCGGCGCTCGCGCGTGCTGGCCCGGCGATCACCTCCACCTGCGGCGGGGGCAGGGGGGCCCCGCACGGGCGCTCGACCAGCAAGGCCAGCAGAGCAGAGGGCAGGGGCTGGGTCGGGTCGACCAACCCCTGGCCTCCGCTCTCAATCTGTGACAGTCCTCCTCCTCCTCCTCCTCCTCCTCCTCCTCCTCCTCCTCCCTCCTCCTCTCCTCCTCCTCCTCCTCCCTCCTCCTCTTCCTCCCCTCCCCCTCCCTCCCCCGCCTCCCTCCCTCCCTCCCTCCTCCCTCCCTCCCTCCCTCCCTCCCTCCTCCCTCCCTCCCTCCCTCCCTCCCTCCTCCCTCCCCCTCCCCTCCCTCCCTCCCTCCCTCCTCCCTCCTCCCTCCCTCCCTCCCTCCCTCCCTCCCTCCCTCCCTCTCCCTCCTCCCCCTCCTCCTCCCCTCCTCCTCCTCCTCCTCCTCCTCCTCCTTCCTCCTCCTCCTCCTCCTCCTCCTCCTCCTCCTCCTCCTCCTCCTCCTCCTCCTCCTCCTCCTCCTCCCCCTCCTCCTCCTCCTCTCCTCCTCCTCCTCCTCCTCCTCTCCTTCTCCCTCTCCTCCTCCTCCTCCTCCTCCTCCTCCTCCTCCTCCTCTCCTCCTCCTCCTCCTCCTCCTCTTCCTCCTCCTCCTCCTCCTCCTCCTCCTCCTCCTCCTCCTCTCCTCCTCCTCCTCACTCCTCCTCCGCCTCCTCCGCCTCCTCCGCCTCCTCCGCCTCCTCCTCCACCTGCAGGAAGACGCCAAAGATACACCTACACCGATCCTGGGCCCAGGATCGGCCTCACCAGGCCCTGCGTAGGCGTATGGCGGCTGCACTCCGAACCTGCGGCGGGGGCCGGCGGGGCCCAGCGCGGGTGCTCGACTGGTGCGCCCCCCCAGAAGTGCGGCCACCACCGCCCATCGCCACCGTCGCCATCGCCTTCGGGGCGCCCTTCGGTGAGGTCCTGCGGGGCGCCCTTCGGGGCGCTCCTCGGGGCGCCTTTCGGGGAGCCCTTCGGGATGCGCTTCAGGGCGCCCGTCGGGGCGGTCGTCGGGGCGCGCTCTGGGGCGCACCTTCGTTGCGGCTCTTCGGGGCGGCCCTTTACGGCGGCCCTCCTGGGCGGCCAGCGTCGTCGTCGTCGTCGTCGTCGTCGCCGTCGTCGCCACCACCACCAGGCCCTGTCTAGGCTCCCGAGGGGCACCGCGCAGACCCGGGAGGCGAGGATCTGCTGGACTGTGAGGGGATTCGGCGTGCTGGCGCACCGAAGTCCTTCTGTTGGGTCATCCGTCGCCACTCCCGTCGCCATGGCGACAAGCGGGGGGCCAGACCGCTGGATTGAAGCATCTCGGTCGGGGTGCGTACCCAAAGAGAGTACGGAGTGCGGGAGCGCGGTGTCGTTTGTGAGAGACGCCCGTGCCTCGAGTGCAAGTTAATGATGCGATTCAACTTACGGATTCTGAGCGTGGATGCGGGACCATTGGGCGTCCGTGCGGGCCCCTTTGGTCGTCCAAGGCCGCCTGAGGATGGGCCAAAGAGTCCAGATGCAGGGGCAGCCTTGCAAGAGCCTCGAACCAGCGCTTGGCTGTGAACGCTGGCTGGGCTGAAAGATGCCAGGAACAATCTACCTCTCAGAAGGCCGACGCTGTCTTTGAGAGCGCACCCTTGCATAAACCGCACCCTTGCCTCAGCGCCCCTGATGGCTGCACTGAGTCGAGCACGCAGGCACGCACGCGTGTGAGACCTGGACCGTCTGGCTTCCCCCGCCCAAGCACACCCTGGGATTATCTTCTTGTTCGCCGCACTCGACCCTCATCCCCCTCCGTCTGCCCCCCTAGCAGTGTTCCCATCAACCCTGCTACGAGCTATAGTGCTTCTTGACGGGCTGATGGCGAGAGCGAGAGCGCAAGCAGACACGACAGGCGGAGAAGACAACGCAGGATAACTTGTTTCGGCACGACCACCCGGCTCCCTACTGGAAACGCCCGAATATCAACAGGGACACAGCGGAAAAGCACGTCCAGGCAACTGTGCTCCTAGGCTGCTTCGACTGAGGCCGTGGGTGCTACACATCTGCGCAACTGGTGGTCTCGCAAAATGTTTCGACACATGTCCCAAGGAGCTGCGAATGCCGAAACCGAATGGACCTGGCGCGGGAGTGGGATCCTAAAACAGAGAGAACATGAGCCTGGCCCATCCATCTTTAAACCAGGAGATCTTCAACCGCTGCATGCTCAGCCAGGCTTCCAGTTGTGAAATCTTTGACCATCTGCAGAGCCACTGCAGGCTGATCCATCGGTACCATGTGGCCTGCATTGAAGACTTGCATGAAACTGAATCCATTGCTGGTCCTGAGCTTCGCCATGACCTCCCCGTTCACTTTGTAGTCATTATTGGGGGCAGCGACGAACTCCTCACGGTGCGGCCAGTCCAGCTTCTGCGTCCATTTCATATTGCCAAGCCAATTGCAAATGTAGTCGCAGTCGCCAGCATAGATTAGCACCTTGATACCATCGGCGAGAAGGTCTGGAATCAGGCCCTGGTAGTTTTTCATCCAATCGCCTGCCTGTGCGAATAGGAGGTTCACAGCGTAGTTGCAAGATCCCCATTTCTTGCTGACGCCGAGCTCTTTCTGCACCTCCAGAGGGCACTGATTACGCCCACCAATCCAATCCGCCCCCCCCCTCAAATCCTCAGTCCACGAAGGGAGGGGTAGTGTGAGGTAGGGACAGAGGCGGGTGAAGATCTCCTGACCTCCGGCTGGTTGAGGTATGTGCCGATCGCGTCGAAGTCATAACAGAGGTTTCCGTGCTCGCAGGGGATCCGCATGTCGTAAGGGTTCTTGCCCGTAAACTTGTAAGGGAGGATCGCCATGCACAGGGAGCACAAGAGGTTCAGCTACCCACCATTCCCTCATCTAAACCTCTCGTCCCCCTAGTCCCTGATCTCTCCATGCCGCTCCCCTCCCTGGTTCCTTGGGGTGCGGTAGATGTACCTAGTTTGCTCCCCGATGTAATTGCAGAGGTCGTAGGCCATCAAGCACGCAGTCTTGTTGACGATCGGGCCCGTTCCGTTAGGCATATCCTAGCACGTTGAATCAAAAAATGCGTGTGTAATGGTGAAACCGAAAATTAGTCAGTCAGAATGGCTGTCATATTGCTGTTATGCCGAAACGTTGACTCCAACTATGTTGCAACAACAGCAACAACAACAGCAACAACAACAACAACAACAACAACGACGACGACGACGAGGCCGACGAAGACGACGACATCAACAACCATCAATTTAAGACTGTTCGATCTTATACGCGTGCGTGTCGATCAACATGTGCTGGCCAAATCCTGGATACCCGCCCTCTTCGTCTTCGATCGTACCCCCTCTAGGAGGGATATCTTTGTTCCCTGCCACGTGAACTTGGCGCAGCCTTTTTTTCAACACAGAATAAAATCGATGTACTGAGAAAGGGAGAGCGAGGATTTTTGTTCCCCCCCCCCCCTTTCTCCCTTACTGGGGTGGGAGAAAGGGAAAGCGAGGAGGACGGGAGCAGGGGAAGGGAGGTAGGAGGGAAGGGGGAAATGGAGAGGGAGGGAGACAACGGAGGACGACGCCCCCAAACAGGAAAACCCTTGAACGGGAAGGGGCCACTGAGGGCTGCACAGGGGCCAGGAAGGGCAGCGAGATGGCCACGAATAACTACATCAGCTCCACGGAGGTCAACGAGGCGGCCAAATAGCTGGGCCACGAGAGGCATCGAGGAAACCACGAAAGCAGCGGCGGGGTCTTCAGATCCGACTGCGGTATCGCGAAGGGCAGCGAAAGCCATCGGAACGGGCGAAAAACATCGAGGGGCGACTCCGGGGTCACCGGGCGGGTCAGGCGGGCGGACCTTGACGGGCGGGACAAGCGGGCGGGCCGCGCATCGTTGAGTCCTACGTTATTCGCCGGGAAGTCTCGGGCGAGAGCGCGATTCCCGAATAGGTTATAAGGAAATCAAAAGCGAGAGCGCAATTCCTGAATGGTGGGAACGCGGCGCATTAGTAACTTGCGAAGAAGTCCCAGGGGAGAGCGTAATTCTTAAATCCAATGTGGCAGCGGGGTGCTCCAATACAGCGTTGGGAAATATCAGGCGGGAGCCGTTGCTGTTGTAGCCCGGGGTTCAGGGCCAAGTTTGATCCTCACGATTTCCCTTTTCTAAAAAGTGCGAGCCCCGGGAGGGGCACTTCAATTGCCAAATGCAATGTGCGCCAGAAGGGGATCAACCACGAGAACTCTCCAACAGATAAAACTCATCAACAACAAAAGCAACAACAACAATCATTCTAAGACTGTTCGCTCTTACTTGCCCACGTGTCATTCACAACGAGTCCCCACCCTCGATACCCGACGTCTTGTCTTCGATAACACCCCCTTTGGGGGGATTCTTTCTCTTTGCGGGGGGCAGTCGGCTTAGAGAGGCGGACAAACTTGAACGGGCGGACAATACTTCGTGGGCGTACATGTGCCCGCCATTGGGATTGGTATGGGCCCTGCAGAAAAAAAGGGAAAACGAGAGAGAGTGGGAGGAAGGGAGGGGGAGGGACGATGGAAGAGGGAAAACGCCAGGAGAGAAGGAGCGAAGAGGGGGGCGGTTGATTAGAGGCAGAGAGAGAAAGAAAGACAGATAAGCAGGGTAGAGAAAAAGAGAGAGAGAGAGAGAGAAAGAGGGGAGGGAGAGAGAGAGAGAGAGAAAGAAAGAAAGAAAGAAATATGGAGGGAGACGGCAGGAGAGGGGAGGGAGAAGGGAGGTGGGAAAGGAGGGGGAGGGGATAGAGCAGAGAGGCATAAGGATGAGGGAAAAGAGGGGGGAGAGAGAAGGGAGGAGAGATGGGAGGAGAGATGAGGGAGAGTGGAGGAGGGGCAGGAAGGTAAGAGCGTGAACGTTCGAGGAAGTCCTAGGCGGAAGCGCCGTTCCTAAACAAAGTCTCGGGCGGGAGCCCACGACGGGCGGGCGATCCCCTGACGGGCGGGTCGGGCGGGTGGAACATTCAAGCGGGATGCTTGAGTATGGCGAGAGCGCGATTACTAAGTAAATTGTAACGGCGTCCCTGGCGCAGCGTGTCTCTTGAGCGTCGAAAGCACGATTCCTGAATCAATTGTATGGAAGTCACAGGCGAAGACGCAAGTCCTGAATAAAATGTGACGGGTTCTCTGGTGGGAGCGGGGGTTTTGATTACATTGCGAGGACGCCTTGACTCAAGTGCGAAGAAGTCTCAAGCGGGAGCGCCGTTCCTGAGTAAATTGTGCGGAAGTCTCAGATGGGAGCGGGGTCCTGACTAAATTGCGAGGAAGTCACAAGCGGGAGCACCGATCCTGAGTACATTTTGAGGAAATCTACGGAGCGGGGGTCCCGAGTTAATTTGGAAGACATCTAAGGCGGGACCCGTTGTTGTTGCAATCCGGGGAACCAGGGGCCCAGTTTGAGCTGAAAGACTTTCCCTGTCAAACAACAGGGTGCGAGCGTCAAGGGGCACACTTTGATTGAGAAAAAGAGCATGCACCAGCGAGGGAGGACCAACAATAATTATTCTTGAGAAGTGAAAGTTCAACAACAACAACAACAACAACAACAACAACAACAACAACAACAACAACACAACAACAACAACAACAACAACAACAACAACAACAACAACAACAACAACAATACTAATAATATGTTTTAAACTGTTCGCCCTGATATGCTCGAGTGTCCAACAACGCGTATTTCCAAAACCCTCGATACCCGCCCTCTTCGTCTTCGATCGAACCCTTTTGGGGGGTATACCTTTCTTCCCTGCAGGCCGGGCCCCTGCAAGCGGCGGGGCGGCCGCGGACCGTCGGCCTGGCCAGCGGCAGCGCTGATCGGCGAGGCGGCCGCAGACCGTCGACCCGACCCCAAGAGGGACGGACAGGGGACCGACCACGACGACGACGACGACGACGACGACGACGACGACGACGACGACGACGACGACGACGACGACGACGACGACGAGCGAAAGCGAGAGCGAGAGAGAACGACAGCAGAGCCACGAAGGGCACGAAGTAGGCCACGAAGGGCGACAGCGGGGACACGAAGGGAATGCGTATGGGGCCACGAAGAGCGCGAACGAGCGGGGGCCACGAAGTGCAGATAATGCGGGGCCACAGAAGGCAACTATGGGGCCACTGAGGGTAGCAACTGGGCCACGTAGGACAGTGAGGGGGACACAAATGGCGACAGCGGGGCCACGAAGGGCATGCACATGGGGCCACAACGGGCGCGACTCCTGGGTGCCTGGGTGTCGGGAGCGCGGCGCTTGGGCAAATTGCAAGGAATTCCCACGCAAGGCCATTCTTCAGTAAGGTGCAAGCAGGACTCCAGCGAGAGCGCGACTCCAGAGCGCCGGGAGAGCGATTCCTGAATAAATTATAAGGAAGTCCCAAGCGAGAGCGCGATTCCTAAATTAAATGCGAGGAAGTCTCGGACGGGAGCGGGGGTCCTGGCTAAATTGTAAAGAAATCTCAAGTGGGAGCCGTTGTTGTTGTAACCCGGGGGCCAGGGGCCCAGCTTGAGTATCAAGACTTTCCCTGTCAAAAAACAGGGTACGAGCGTCGAGGGGCACACTTTGATTGAAAAAGCGATATGCACCGGTGGGGGGGATCAACAATAATTATTCTTCCGAAATGAGAACTCAACAACAACAACAACAACAACAACAACAACAGCAACAGCAACATCAACAGCAACAGCAACAGCAACAGCAGCAGCAGCAACAACAACAACAACAATAGTAACAGCAACAGCAAAAGGCAACAACAATAACACATACACCAACAACTACAACCACAACAGCAACAGCAACAACAACATTAACACCAGCAACAACAACAACAACAACAACAACAGCAACAACAGCGACCTTAACACCAGCAACAACAACAACCACAACAAAGGTAAGACTGTTCGCTACCATCTGCTCGCGTGCCATTCAACACGTGTACCCCAAACCATCGGTACCCGCCCTACTCGTTTTCGATCGTAACCCCTTCGATCGCAACCCCTAAAACTGGATGGAATGGGGAGGGAACAGGATGGAGCAGGAGAGAAATCAGCAGGAAGGGGCTAGGACCAGAAAGCGCGTGGCAGAACCAAACGGGCGGATCGGCCGAGCAGACCCTGATGGACGGGTGGAGGCGGCGGCCCCGGCGGCCAGGTCGAGCAGACGGGTTGCTGAAGCGTGCATCCTGAATCGCGAGAAAGTCTAGAGCGACAGCGCGATTCCCAAGCAAATCGTGAGAAAGGCCGAAGATAGAGCGTAAGGTCTGAGTGTCGAGGGCGTGGCATCTGAACAAATTGCGAGAAAATTCCACGCGAGAGCGAGATTCTTCCATAACTTGTGAGGAAGTCCCGCGCGAGTGCGCGACGTTGGAATACCTTGTGAGGTAATGTCGGGCGGGAGCCGCTGTTGTTGTAAACCGGGCGCCAGGGGCACAGTGTGGTGACACCACACTTTCTCAGACAATCAACAGGATGCGAGCCCCGAAAAGGGCACTTCAAGTGAAATTATCCTGGCGAAGGACCCAACCATATGCAGTTGTGAGTATCGCAATTGTGAGTATCTTCTTCGGTGGCGCTCCCTATGGGGCCACGAACCGCATGAGGGGCGTGCCGAAATGTGGCGGGGTACACAACGCAAAGGAATACGATAGATCTGATTACGAGAGAAAGAACGCGGGTGAGTCAGAGCGCGTGGGAATCTGAGTATGAATGGGTCTGCGCGCGAGTGAATATATTTGCATGAATGCGATCATGGAACCGCCTAGTGTAAGTGTCGAGCATGCCTGTCCGAACACACGTGACACTGGGCGTGGCCGCCGCAGGCAGCTTCCGCGGGCACCCCGACGGCAGCGTCCGCACGTCGCGACGCCCATGTCGGCACGCCTCTTGCGAGGATCGCGCCCGCTTTTGGCTCTTCTTTTCCTTCCTCTTTGCCCGCGCACTCCAAAATCCAAGGCTGCGGGCGCAGCGCAGCGCGGAGTCCCCGCGACGCGCGCTGGTCGCCCCGGGCGGGGTCCCAGCGACGCGCGCGGGACGTCCGCTGCGCGAAGCAGAGAGAGCTGACTAGCTAACTGGCTGGCTGATAGCGGGCAAGTCTCTGACCGCTGGGCAGAGCGACGACGGGCGAACGAGGCGCCGGGCCCCCGCAGCACGGAGTTCCCGCGACGCGCGCTGGTCGCCCCGAGAGGGTCCCAGCGACGCGCGCGGGTCGTCCGCGGCGCGAGGCCAAACAATTAGTCGGGCAGTCGAGAGAAGGCGCGGCTCGGGGGAGACGCTCCTCAGGTCAGGCCTCGCGGATGAACTCGGTGAAGCCGAGCTCCCTGGCGAGGGCCGTCGCTTCCCCCCTGCACCGCTTCGTGCGCGCCGCAAACTGCTCCAGCTGCTTCCGCAAGCACTGCGGCGGCCCTGCCAGGAAGAACTCGATGCGCGGCGCCCGCATGAGCAGGAGGTCCTCGTGGCGCGTGGCGCGCGAGAGCAGCACGTAGAGCTCCAACCACCAGTCGTCGTCCTCCTTCTTGCCGTTCCCTACCTCGTGGCGGCCGCAATCCAGGATCACGCCTGGGCGACGTCGACCGAGGGAGCAGCGCGCCGGGCAGCCGACGGCCCAGGGCGAGAGTCCAAGGGACCGAGAGATGGTCTGGCCGCGGACTGCTCGCGCCCCGGAGGTCTGGCCGCCCCCGGAGCGCCGTTCCCCCGCCCCGTCGCCTTCGCGCATGGTGCGCCCCTGGCACGCCACAGTGGTGATGACCCTGCCGTGCGAGAAATGCGGGGGGTGTGCCGAAATGGGTGGGGGTGACGCATGCGGGCGGCGGCACTGAGGCCTTCGGTGGAGCTCCCTATGGAGCTACGAAACGTGTGAGGGGTGTGCCGAAATGGGTGTGGGGGACGCATGCGGCCGCGGGCACTGGGGCCTTCGGTGGAGCTCCCTATGGAGCCACGAAACGTTTGAGGGGTGTGCCGAAATGGGTGTGGGGGACGCATGCGGCCGCGGGCACTGGGGCCTTCGGTGGAGCTCCCTATGGAGCCACGAAACGTGTGAGGGGTGTGCCGAAATGGGTGTGGGGGACGCATGCGGCCGCGGGCACTGGGGCCTTCGGTGGAGCTCCCTATGGAGCCACGAAAAGTGGGAGGGGTGTGCCG